AGTGGGAGATGTCCCACAAGTTCCAGGTAGTGACCAACCTAGAAGATCTACCCGGGTTTCCAGGCCTCCGGTTCGTCTCGGCTATAACCAGGGTAGTTACCTGGTAGAAGCTATGACCAGTGAGGAGGATCCCGTGACTTATACGGAAGCTATGTTGGACATAGATTCCTTGAAGTGGGTAGATGCCATTAGAGCTGAGATGGACTCAATGGAGACCAATAGAGTCTGGACTCTAGTAGATCCGCCCCATGGGGTAAAAGCCATTGGTTGCAAATGGATCTATAAGAGGAAGAAGGGCCCCGATGGTAAGGTTGAGACCTACAAAGCTCGTCTTGTGGCGAAAGGGTATACTCAGAAAGAGGGCATTGATTATGAGGAAACCTTTTCGTTGGTGGCCATGCTTAAATCCATTAGGATCCTGCTAGCTGTAGCAGCATACCATGACTATGAAATTTGGCAAATGGATGTCAAAACTGTATTCCTGAATGGAGATCTTATTGAAGATATCTATATGCAGCAACCGCAAGGTTTCATAGCTGCGGGTCAGGAACACATGGTATGTAAATTAAATAGATCAATATATGGACTTAAGCAAGCTTTTAGGAGTTGGAACATCCAGTTTGACTCTACTGTCAAAAAGTTTGACTTTGAGCAGAATTCAGATGAACCTTGTGTTTACAGGAAATCCAGTGGAGATAAGGTTACGTTCCTGGTTCTGTATGTAGATGACATTCTGCTCATTGGGAATAATGTAGGAATGTTGACTACGGTGAAAGTGTGGCTTTCACTGCAATTCTCCATGAAAGATCTTGGAGAAGCCTCCCATATACTGGGTCTTCGACTCTATAGAGATAGATCGAAGAGGATAATAGGATTATCCCAATCTGCTTACATTGACAAGATAATCAAAAGATACAGCATGGAGAACTCCAAGAAAGGAAATGTTCCTTTCAGGCATAGAGTCACTCTCTCCAAGGCCATGTCTCCCATGACTCCCGAGGAAATTGAGGGCATGAAGGACATTCCCTATGCCTCAGCCGTAGGGAGCATCATGTATGCCATGTTGTGCACTCGTCCTGACATTGCTCAGGTAGTGAGTGTGGTAAGAAGATTCCTGGCCAACCCAGGGCAGGAGCACTGGATTGCTATGAAAAATATACTTAAGTACCTTCGAAGGACAAAAGAGTTTTGTCTGGTATTCGATGGTAGCTCACTACAAATCTAGGGGTATACTAATACCGATGATAGAAAGTCTACATTTGAGTACATTTTCACGATAGGATCGTGTGTTGTTTGCTGAAAGTCAGCGAATAGGGGTCTTAAGTAGTAAGAATAACAGTCCACAACCCAAGTTGAACACATTGCCATAAATGAGGTTGCCTAATGAATGAAGGTGTTCATTATGGAATTTGGAATTCTACACATCACCCGTTCCACTGTTGTGTGACAACACTGGATCTACGGGAGATGTTAAAAGGTAGCATCAGCGGAGAATGTGGCAGACCCATTGACTAAGCCACCGACACAGGAAGTGTTTATGAAACACGTGGAAAGTATGGGACTCCGGCTTATACCAGATTGGACTTAAGTGCAAGTGGGAGCTGTTAGACAGTGTATGCCCTTAACTCCAATCAGAATGATGTACCTTATGACACTTATTGTAAATGAATAAAGTGCATATTTGAATCATGTTATTATGGTATGTTTCTGTGTAATACCCTTAAACTAGACACATATGAGACTCGTGTTTGTTTAAAATATTCACAGCCATTGGGTAAGTCTGGGGAGATTTATCCTGCTAAAGTTGACACTGATGTGCCCCCAAGTTGGTAGGGGTAGTCTGTCTCACTTGCCAGGCTAATACCCGAGGTACATGCTGTGTAGGTTTACTTGAAACCCCGAACCAGACCAGAATTCCAGTATTTCCCTGGACCTTGGTGATTAGTGGGCAAAACTGGAATGTTACACCTGACCCCTAGACTCGATTATGATACTGCATTAGATGTCGGATTGGGCTATCTTTGATATGCCAATCAGTGAGATCCTTAGAGGGGGTCAAAACCTGGGTATGTTGGGATAGTCTGAGAATTCATTTGAGTGGGTGATCATAGTGACAGGATCAGCCCMTTTGTCGGACAAAGGTAATGATCGGGGATGCACTCTCTCTGATGGAAACCAAAGCTGCCGGCAGCCGATTTCAATAGTTGAAATTTGTTTTTGCAAAATATATTTATATAAAGATATACATATATATTATGGTTTCTAAAATGTTTGCAAAAGGTTTTAATTCCCGGGATCCATGTGAGTAGAGAGTGCAACACTGTTCCTTGCAGCCGAGGGAGAGGTCATCTCTTGTCGGGTAGTGTTTTATCATTATGAGCTGAGAGGTTAAGTGTAAAACCATTGAGGGTAATACCTGATGGGCTAATCTTGCATCTACCCACAGTCCCTGGGTTTTTATAAGGTGGCTTGGCCCAAGGACCACTTAGTGTAAGTGTTGGGTCCATTAAGAGCCCATGGTGATGGTCTCAGGGGTTCACTATCCATAACAGTGAATTCGGCCAGGCCTTGTAATAGATGTTAGGCTAAACCCATGTGGCTGATGTGTAGATCATTGTTTGGGTTCACACCATACAAGGAAACCCAACTGGGCAGCAGTTTGGAAGGTTAGTGAGCACATGGACTTAATGGGCCCAAAGCCCAATTCAAATTGGTCTAATTTGATTAGTTAAAGAAGGGGGCGGATATGAGATTTGGATCAGTAGATAGGATAGAGAGTTATCCCTATCCACTCAGAGAGTCCAATTCCAAATATAGATTTAGATTTGGAAACTCCTAATAAGATTAGGATGACTGATCTGATCTGCAGATAAGATAAGGGCTTATCCTTATCTCTTAAAGAGAAGTCCTGATCCAAATACAGTTTTGGATTAGGAAACTCCTAATGAGATTAGGAGTTCTCTTTAAGGCTATAAAAGGAGGAGGAGGGCGAACCTCCATTCATCTCATCACAATAGATCTCAGATCACAGAAAGAGAGAAGACAGTTATAGTAAGACATCGCCATCTTCTGCTCTTGCGCCCTCCTACTACTGCCGCCATTGCCAATTCGATCTCCACTGTAGGAGTGATCAAGAAGTGTTCTTGATATCAGTCTTTGGAGAAAAAATGATATGAAGTCGTGCTCACATTCCCTCCATCGAATTCTTGCTGAAGGATTCGGTTCTTGTGAAGAATCCGTTGATTCTGCTCCACCCTATGCTGTGTCATCTTCAATGGGAGTAGTCTTTGGAGGTTTCCTTGGGTGTGAACACTTTCGTTGGGAGTTATTGCTACTCCGTATTCGGTACATCTCTCTCCTACCTTTTGGTTTCAGATCTGGTTCGGTTTAGGTTCAAAATTGATCATTGAAAATGTAGATTTTCTAAAACAGGTAATGTGATTCCCAGATGGGAGAGAGAGAAATTTTTGAAATTTCGCCCAACCTAACTGTAGGGTTTGGCCATCCATATGATGGATTTCTCATCCCTTCAAATCATAGCAAACAAATATGTGTGACTCATTGGTGAACTTGTATTTTAAAATCAAATGACTAAGGTTTAAGTCTTGGTATAACTAAAATTTTAAGTTTTTACACTAACAAAATGAAATTAATGAGAGGGGATCATTAATTAAAGGAATTAATGAAATAATTTGAATTAGGCGCTAAAATTCATATTTAAATTTAAATTTGCCTTGGAGTAATTGACTAATTAATGAAAGAGAAATTAAAATGACAAGAGATTCGATATACGTATTGATCAATGCGGTGTTGTGATATTTTGAACCTTGCTCATTCCCCATCTATAGAGTCCCTCTTTAGTCAATAGTTTTTTATTGAGTAGGATGTAGAGGAAAAAAACTACTTTGGGAGATAATTTCATTTTTCAAATTTTAAAATTGGGATTATTCTCAATTAAGAAATAATTAAATTTTAAAATTGGGATTATTCTCAAATAAATCAGATGATAATCCAATCCTATTTGGCCGATTTCGGATCATCCCAATTTTAGTTTCCAAATTATTTGATCTTTCTTCGGGATTATAGGTATGATAATCGCTTTAATACTATCCAAACGTCAGAGGGTCCATGATTTTTTTCTCTATTCCAAGTTTTGATTTCACTCGAGGTGAATAGATCCTTTAGCCTGATTTCCTTCTCCTGTATAAGAGGTCAACTCTAAATGAAGTCAAACGCAACTCAGACTACCACAACATTTTGTATTCACTCCTCCACTAGAGTCCACTGTACAACTCATGCGTGGTGCTAAGCAAGGCCCGGGCCTGGGCCCGGCCCATGATGACATTCTTCCACGTTACATTGAAATGGGCTTTTTCTGTGATCACGTGGGCCACTGGTCCAGGACATGAGATGGTCTAAAACCAGCAACTAGAATCTGGAGATAGAGGCATTGGTTGGTGGAAAGTGGAATCCAATGGCTACTATTTATGTTTTCTATTTATTATTTGTTGTAGTTATTATTATATATTACATTATATTTGAAGTTGTTGATCTATCCACTTGATTGATGGACCCACCTGATTCTCTATTTTTACCATCGATTAGTATTTTATATGAAATCATAAACGATCCAATCCGACGTTTTTGAAACAAGATCTATGAACTGTAAATGTACATCTGGACCTGGATCTAATCCAATATTAAAAGATTCCAATCCGAGGGGTTTTGAAGAAGTCTACAGTCTTCTCTGTAGGACCTGATATATTCAAGTATACCAGTACCACACTCTCACAGAGTCCAAACTCCGAGGTGTCAACTGTTAAAAAGTCAGAAGTCAAACCAAAGACAAAACAACACCCAAAACGGCTATTTAAATGCCTAGAAAACGTGTCAAAAAACTATTGGCGAATTATTTACTTTATTAACAAATTTTCGTATCTAAATTTATTAATTTCTTATCGTATTACTCTACCATTGCATCATTTGCATGCGTTCTTCGTGTCCTCGCCATTTCGACAACAAAACAACCAAAACCTCTGTCTATTTTTCTGCTCAATCCCTCTCTCTCTCTCTCTCTCTCTCTGAAGCTCTATGTTCTGTTGGGGAGAGAAGAAGAAGAAGAGTCAAGAAGGTATGGGGAGGAGGAGGAGCTCTCCTGTAAGCGTGTTATTCAGATGGGTTCGAAGCCAGTCGATGAAGGTGAAGATTTTCCTGGCTGTGGTATCTATGATCTGTTCTTTGGTCGCTCTGAAACTTTTCGTTAAGGATCACAACCACTTCTTCGTCGCTTCTGAAGCGATTCATTGGGCGGGGATCATGGTCTTGATATACAAGCTCACTACACAGAAGAGCTGTTCTGGTATTTATGCTCTGTTTTCTCTCTCCACCCCCTTCTTATAGAATGTTTCAGTGTTTGGGCTTGCTAATGCTTTTCTTGTTTTGTTGAATTTCTGTTGGGCTCTGTCTTTTTCTCTTAATTAATAGATAAAATCAAAGAATGACCATGAAAAAAAGTCTGAGTAGTTTTGTGATAGATATTGGGATTGGTGGGTTTGGAGAAGGGGGAGATATATAAATTGTTCTCTTTGGATTTGATTAATACAATTTCTGTTTTGTATCTGAGTTTCTTGTTAGAATCGACATGGTTACTAGAAAACAGTAGTCAATATAAAGTATTGTACAGTATTTCTTTTCCTTTTTTGTTTTAATTAAAAAGACACAGAATTTAGCTTCATTGCCTTGATAGAATAATTTTTTTCTTATTTCATGTTTGAATGGGCCTTTGTTACCCAGTTATGCAGTTAGGTAAAATTACTCAGCTCTGTTATTTTTTTTTTAATTACTCAGCTCAGTGCTTATTTTGCTTAAATCTTTGTATACCAAGTGGACCCAAAGGATCCTGTTTTCCTATTTGAACTACCCCCTATCTGTCATAAACTACCTGGTTGTGCATAAATCCTATTTAAAACCTCTGGGGTCAGTAGGTATCAAAAGGATCCTCTTGGAACATCTATAAGGAACACAGTGATGTTTATACTTCCTCTTCTTTGAATGATCAGGGTTTGTAAATATACGTCATCTTCTACACGAATTTGTTTGTCTTTCTCACAGTGGAACTGTGGAATTTTAATACCATCCAATCCATATTCTATGGTATATTCTTGTCTTGTTGAATGGAATGGTACAATTTTACTACTGAATTGCAACAAAATTCTACCAGAATTTTCTTAACAAGTTAAAAGAAAACACTAAAATTATAATGGTTAGAAGCAAAAAAAGATTGATGGTATGGGAATCTTGAATTTCAATTTGGAATTCTTATTTTACAACAGGCCTAAAATTTCATATCGTTGCAATTTAATAAAGAAATGTTTTTTGAGTAAAATGTTTAAATTCATATCTTCCATGATTGTGTGGGATGATTTAGCTAATTTCAGTTAAATTCAGCTTGTTCTTATATTGTTAAGTGTATTTTCCTAGACAAGAAGCTTATACCTATGTCAGGACTATGCTAATCCTAATGAACAGATTTGTTATCCTTCCAATCATTGAACACAATCTTATCATAACTTTTATTTCACTTGGTATTATCCCCCCATTCGATAATTTATACCTGCACTTCTCTTTAGATAACACAACAGGACTCATGATTAGCTTGGACAATGATACTGCATACTTAAACCAACTCCAGAGTTAGTTTTTTTTTTTTTTTTTTTTTTTAATCTTGATATAAACCTATAAGACTAACCTATCACTGTTTAGGTCTAAAAGAACTATTTTGCTATGAATTTTTGTTGCATGCATTTCAATACCTTGTCTTACTCTTATAGAGGAAGAGTCATCTTTCTGTAATGTGTAACTTTTTGAGGTTCTTATGATAAAACTTATCATCCTTTAGTTTTCTTATTATAGTTTTCAAACATGCTCATGTGTTTATATGCATGCTTTCTGTTTTTCATGCATGCTAGGCAAATAAATGGATATTCTTGTGCCTTTGTTATAGCAATCTCTAGGAATTGTCAATCTTGTTCTGAAGTTAAGAATAATCCTTTTATAGGTAACTTCTTTTGAAATAAAGTCTTAGGTTTTATTTATGATAGGAAGGCAAGCCAAGTAATGCCAATGTCTATTTTTTATATCAGAGTGCAGCATAACCTCAGATGACCTTCTCTTGGTGCAACATTAAATTGTGTTCTTTACTGCATCATAAATTTTTCATCCATATCACATTGTTTTAGTACCTACATTTTCATGTTACTAACCATCAATGCTTTGTTTAGGACTATCCTTGAAAACACAGGAGATAACTGCAATATTCCTAGCTGTAAGAGTGTATTGCAGTTTTGTCATGGAAGGTGATATTCATACTGTGCTTGATGTTGCAACATGTATCTCAACTCTTTGGGTTATTTACATGATACGGTTCAAATTGAAGTCCACCTATGTCAAGGAATTTGACAACTTTCCAATATATTATTTGGTAATGACAAATTGTGTATCAACTCACTGGATTATTTGCAATTTGTGCTTTTGTCAATTCTCTGAAATGGTATATAAATCATAGTTCAGGGTTGATTTTGACTAAATAGCTTTTCATTGTAAACTTTGCTTGATTTTACTGAAGAAAGTTTTCTCTCTCTTTAGGTCTAGGTGCTTGATCTCTTGGCAGCATTATTAGCCATGATGCCTAGATGTGTAAATTTTATATTTAGCACATTGTCTAGCCTTGTTCTGCTGTAACTGAGTAACATAGATTATTAAAAGTATAATATAGGTTTTATCATTACTGTTAACAATCAAACTTTCTTCCAAGGGCTTCTCTGAATGAGCTCTAATATGGAGTACTCAAATTCTAACACTGACAAATTCTGGTCAGGACAGGATAGTAGAAATCCTTATTTTTTACTTATACCACCCAGGAGTTTAGGAATTCTTATTGTTACCCTGCATTTTATTGGTTTACATGGTTAGGTCAGCAGTTTTTTCGAGGGATCTCATTCTGGCATACATTAAATTGTTCATCCTGACTGTTTTCAACCTGCGGTAGTACTGGCTGTTCTGACCAGTCATCCCATCACCTAGCCACATATCTATTTCTCCTCTGAATCACTTATTTGCAGAAAGTTGTTGACTAGGTCAGTGACCCATATGGTTGAACCACTGAACAGTTTGACCTGGTCAGCGGGCCATGTGTTAGAACGTTATTTACATTTTTGTATTTTTAGGCATTTTTATCATTATTAACTATAATTACCATTTGTCACACTCATTTTTGTTTAATATGATGAATATATATTAGAGACGTGCTCAATTTTTCTGAAAAACTTCTATAATTTCTATATTCTGTATTTTTATATTTTATTAAGTTATGGCATCATGGGTTGACTCATTTGACCTAGAGGGTTGAATTATTGAGCCATCACTTGGACAGAACCTGATTGGTTTTATAAAACATTGCATCCTGATCAGCCTGCACTTGTGCCATATAGATGCCACCAGCAAGGAGGGCCATGGTACTCAATGGTGTTGCTTCTTATGGAGTACAAATACAAATATGTAGTGCAAAACTTTGTATTTTCTATGTATTTGCACTGTACATATTTGTATTTGTACTCTTTCCAAACTGAGGCTTAGTTTGGGAAGAGTACAAATACAGATATTGTACAGTGAAAATACAATGTCTAGAAGTACCATATACAAGATTTACATTAAACATATTTGTATTTGCACTATTCCCAAACTGAGCCCAAGTAAATTCATTTCTCTCCACCCAAAGACATTATAAAGAAAAGCCTCTGTTGCATAAAGAGAAACTTACAAAGGAATATAATAATTTTATTTTTCTTGCACATGCTAAATGATGATCTGTTCCTTGCAGGCGGTTCCTTCTGCTATCCTTGCACTAATTGTAAAACCTTATACAAAACATTTGATTATCAACAGAGTGCTTTGGGCATTTTGTGTTTACATGGAATCTGTGTCAGTTCTGCCTCAACTTCGTCTTATGCAGAATGCAAAGGTTTGAATGCCAATGGATTGTTTAAGCTTCTAATTCAATTATTAACTTTTCCAAAATGAGTAATATTATTTCATGGTTAAATGTGTTAGATGGTTGAACCGTTTACTGCCCATTATGTATTCGCATTGGGAGTTGCAAGATTTTTGGGCTGCGCTCATTGGATCCTTCGGGTAAGAAATATTAAGGATGTATGATGTTAGGACATGAGCTTACTGTGAATTATGTGTCATGCAGATGCCCACGATAAGTACACTATACAGTTTTTAGAAATATCCTGTGTTTGAATGAAAGTGCAGTTAGCAGTCTTCTTATTATGTGCATCTTGTTGCCATTCTGAGGTGGGATAGACCACTTTTGAGTCAAATTTTGGAGATCTCCGAATATATAAGTCAGTCTAGTAAGATGATCCTTATATTAAGTTTGATGGACATTGTTCTGGACTTCTCAGTCTTCACCACATTCCTTTCCTAAAATCCTGATAATTCAAAATGTTCTGAAGCCGTCTTGTTTCACTTACTTTTGGCCTAGTAAACTATGAGGTGGGGCCATAAGAGCACCCCTTAGTTTCATTCATTTACCTGTCATGGACGTGGAACAAGGAGTAAAGCTACTTCTGTTCTTCCATCTTGACATGGCTTTGTCTTGCATAATAGTGTCACAAAATGACATTGATATACAACAATGAAGAAAAGATACAAGGAACTTTTGACATATTCAGCCCCAAAAATTTACTTATGAAGAAATAACATTAAGAAAATAGCAGTGGAAAAAAGAGAAAATTTCACTTCATTGTGATGCTACTTGCAGTCAAATATAATTATTGTCATGCCTTTTAGGTACCTAAGGTGTTCTATTTTAGGAAGTCTTTTACAACAGCCAAACTATGACTATTATAATTTGATAGTCACAAGTCATGAAAATGCTTCTCATTGTCCTTCAGTACCTGTAGGCTTCCCAACATCATTGTGCTCATCTACAGGGCCTCTTACTACTAATCTTGTGTAAGTACCATGGTTAATAATTAATATAGTTGGTCTTATTCAATTCCATGTATGCATGCAGGTTATTGAAACTCGTGGATCATATCTATTCTTCCTCGGAACTGGGTACCTGTGGTTACCAATTGTTTTCCTTTCAGAAATTATTCAGACCTTCATTTTGGCTGACTTCTGTTACTACTATGTCAAGAGGTGAATTCCCAACTTTCAATTTATGCCACTGGTGCTATTCATATCCTCTCATTGCAACAATTGAGTCGTAACTGTACGTTGCTTGTGGATTTTTGCTTTACAGTGTCATGGAAGGCCAGCTCATCATAAGGTTGCCCTTACCTGTCTAAAGATCATCCCCATAAACCATTGGTAGCAATTAATGTTCATTGATATTCGCTGCCAGAGCCTAATTTAAAAACCCAGTGCCATCAAGAGTTTCATTTTTTCCTTCAGTTTGGTTTTCTTGCCACTCTTAGTTGAAAATGATGGATCAACAATTTTCTGGAATTTTATTGGAACTGAAAAGCTTTGAGAAGTATAGTTTGTGATGGCCAAGAATTCTGGTACTAGGTCACTCGGAACAATTAAGGATCCATCAGAAGTGCAGGGAGCTAACCTATTAGCAGACCATCCAATGAGTTTCAAAGTTGATCCACTGATGCAGGAATTGGATAAACTGGATGCTGCCAGTCGGTCGGACTATACACTCCAGTTTCAGCTTTCACTGCAGAAGGGAGAATGAGGAAATTAAGACATGGTGCTGCTAAAACATCCTATACTGTTTTAGTGGCCAAGTAAAATACAACCCAAATGGAAACATAAGAAAAATATAAAAATACACAATATATATATATATATATATATATATATATATATATATATATAAGAAAGGTGCCAACTGGTTTATTGATTGTTAAGGTGTCTAGCTGGTTTGTAGCGAAAACTTGGGATCAAATCCCGTGTGGCAGGCTTTGGACAGAGCAGACGGGGAACCTCCAAATAGCACTTAGTCAACTTCTAATTTACTCTAAAAAGTAAGTCTGAGCTTGGTCGCTTAATGGCATAACTCTACTAAGAAGGATCAAATCCCATCTCTATACTGGTTTGGGTGGGGCACAGGGCAGCAAAAGAAGCGGCCCAGCTAGCATCTTCAAGCAACGAAGGAAGAAAAGAATGGCATAACTCTACTAAGAAGGATGTGGCACAGCGCGGCACGCACAAAGACAAGGCTCGCGCCACAGGGTGCTATAGAAGTAGCCCCATTTATTGCATGGATAGGAAGGCGCTTCTTCTATTAGGTGTCTCATGGCAGGGCCTGTGCAACACAATCAAAGAGGAGCTGCTAGGAGTGGCAACTTCCAACCCAACCCAACCCATTGAAATTTAAACTCACCCATTTATTAATGGTTGGGTTGTATTTTTTAGTGCTGGGTTAGTAGCAAGTTGGTGTCACAGGTATCCTTAAGAGATTAGGAATTTTCATTTTTTGATTTTTTACTTCTTTCCTTCTTTTTCGTCTCTGAACCTTAAGGCTATGTTTGGTAAACACAGCCTAATCCATGGTTGAAGATCTCAGCCAGTGATTTTCTAACCCTGCCTTACCTCATACTCTCTCTCTTTCTCTCCAATTCCAAACCCTAACCAACACTAATCAGCAGTGGTGATCCCTCCATACGTGAACCAAAGCTGCTACAATGATGACGCAGAGCTGATTCGTTTATTTCTGTTATGCTCTGTTTTACATTTTTAGCTTCGTCCAGTTGCAACAATATGGACGAGGGAGTGCAGACTTTGCCATAGTTTGTCAAAAGCTAAAGGGGTCCCGAACAAAGTGTGAGGTGCTTCAGACATGCGGAAACTACTACTTTTCAACCTGCAAATTAATGTTTGGATTAATTTTACAAAGTAGTAATGAGCTCACAAAACTACCAGGGCATCCTTCCATGAATCTGGATTTATTTCTTCAAGTTCATCGGCAAAATCAAAAGTGATGTCACCGCATTAGTAAAATCCAGACGACAAGAGMCCATTATTTCTTTATCCATATCTCTTTTATTTTTTCAGGTCCAATGGGTATGTCCTTTCACTTCTTTTTCTTCAAATCGTGTTTGTTATCTTCAACTATTTTTTTCACAGTCCCTTTCTAAATGTAATTGAAGTTCTACAGTTATATTTTGGAAATGTTTATACTTTCTTATAATTTTTGTTATTTTTTGTAATTTTTATATTTTCTGAAATTTATATACATATTTTTGTAATTTCTTTTTTTTCTTTGTTTTTTCTGTAATTTTTGTTATATTTTCTTTTGCAACTTCTGTTATCTGTTGTATTGAAATGTTTTGCAGTATTTTTTGTTATTTTTCTACATTTCTGTGTTTTCTCTATAACTTTTGTTTTCATCTTTTTGCAATTTATGTTATTTTGGTGGGCTTCTATATTTTCTATAATTTTTATAATTTTGTTCATTTTTCATGTTTCTGCAATTTATGTTTTTCTAGTCTTTCTTATGTTTTTTTGGTAATTTATATTAATTTCTCACTTTTGTGTTTTTTATAATATTGTCTATATTTTTGCAATTTTAATTATTTTCCATATTTATATTCTCCTTTTTTGTGCATGTTCTATGTTTTTATAATTTCTGTATTTTTTACAATTTATGTTTCTGTTTCTGTTGTATAATGATTTAAATATTCATGGGTTGGGTTAAGGCGGGTTTGGGTTCAACCCAACCCATTTAATTTTATATAAAATGGATTATTAATGGGTTGGTGGGTTAGATGAATTGGGTCGAAGCTTGACCTAAATCCACCCAATTGCCCCCCCTCCCCCCCCACCACAAGCTACTACTTTCCAACTTGCTACTTTTCAAGAATGAAATCTTATTGGAATTGTACATATCCGATTCATCCTTCGGAACCATATTACATCCCDGATCTGATGAAATAGGATGAATTGAGACGGTATTTTGTAAATACGTAATTATYTTGAACATATCAACCATTTCTTTATTTTGCGATCACATGGAAGAGGCAAAAGAAACATCTTGTTGTTTCTTCAACAATTTCTGATCTCTAGTGGACCTCTCAGTAGGATTCGAACCCAGATGAAGTTCTGACCATTTGTTAGGGAAAAAAGTGAATTGATCTTATAGGATCCCCAAGAAGTTCTTCGATTTCTTCCGAAAGCAGATGAATAACGTTTTGTGAATAGTTGGCACATTGAGGAATATCTAGAAAGGCATTTCGGGAATTGGTCTGATTCTATCTTTGTTCGTTCCATTTGAAGAAAGGAAGGATCTCAAGAATGGAGCTTTCTTTTAGTTGTTGAATCTCTCTTTGATTGATCAATGTGTGATATTGAATCCTCATTATTAATGGTAATG